TTATGCAGGCAAAAGGTAAGATTAATGACATTGTTGCAGAATATAGTAAAATATTTATGCACATTTTGTGATGTGATTAAACCTGCACTGCTATTTCAGCAACACAGGAAAGTTTTGGATAAAGGTAAACCAGATGACGTAATGCCTGCTATTAAAGGAGCAAAGGTGAGAGACGATGATCAGTCCCTTTTTTTGTTTGCTTTGTTTTGACTGACAAAGCAGTTTAATGCTGTTTTAAATCTGTAGCCAGACAGTGGTGGAAAGTAACTAAGTACATTTATTCATCAACTATGGTACAATTTGAGGTATCTGTACTTTAATTAAGTATTTTTTGTTCTCAAATTCATACTTCGACTTCACTACATTTTAGAGGAAAATATTGTGCTTTTTACTTCACTACATTTATTTTATAACTTTAGTTACTTTTCAGATCCAGATAATACAAAGAATACAGTATGATTCTATAACTTTATTGATCCCTGGTGAGAAATTCACAAGCTATCCAGCAGTAATGCAAATTATGAGCATATAAGCTAGTTAAAACTAGCCCCCACCACCACCAGCTGCAACATTAAACATGATGCACATAATAATGTATCAGTAATTGCTAATGTTAAATGTGTCGTTCTGCATAATGAATACTTTTAGTACTTTAGGTGTGTTTTTGATGCTAATACTTTTGTACGGGAGTAGCATTTTGAGTGCGGTATTTTTTACTTGTAACAAAGTATTTTTACAGTGTTGTATTGCTACTTATACTTAAGTAAGGGGTCTGAGTACTTCTTCCACCACTGACTAACTGCTTTTTGTCACTGACAGGAACGATTACCAACAGTGCCTTTATCCGGAATGTATAACAAGTCTGGAGGAAAAGTTAGACTGACATTCAAACTGGAGCAAGATCAGTTGTGGATTGGAACAAAAGGTGAGATTACACTTGGCCTCATTTTGCCAAATTTACTGCAGCACATATAGTGATGATTACCTTGTCTGTTTGTGTGTGTGTGTTTACCTGTACAGAGAGAACGGAGAAAGTCCCAATGGGCTCCATTAAAAATGTAGTGTCTGAACCCATTGAAGGCCACGAGGACTATCACATGATGGTAATTGTTTTTGCTGCTACCTGCATGTCAGACTTATTTTTTTTGTTCTTGTACTGAGCAAAGCCAGGAATCTCATATGATATTTGTGTGGAGAAAAGCAAAAGAGTAGACCAGAAATGCTTTTTGAACTCCATTAGAATAAACTACATGTATTTAGGGTCTTTTGAGTAGGCACGGGTTGAATTGTACACTGCAGAATGCAGTGTTGTATGTGTGCATCAGAGTGATGTTGTCATCGTTCTGCTGTTTTGGGCTCTGCAGTGGAGTGAGAAATGTCAGTGCCTTCTGTAAATTAACCTTTATGTCTAAAGGCACTTGTGTTCTTCATTGTCAGAGAAGTAGAAGTAACTCTGTTTAATCAGGTAGGACAATAAAGTCAAGGTACTGGTGTGGCCATCACAAAGCCCTGACCTCAATCCAATAGAACATTTGTGGGCAGAACTGAAAAAGTGTGTGTGATCCAGACTGACCTATATAGGACTAAATGTAAGGAGTTTGGCTACAGTGTATGTAAACGTCTGACTTCAACTGTATTTATTTAAACCACTGTGTTTGTACACCTGTAGTGCAGAAATGTTGGGCTATATTCTGATGCAGAATAGTGGAATCACAGTGGCATTGCTTTGTGTTATAAAAAAAAAAAAAAAAAAAAGGCGGGAAGAAGGGAAAACTCGTTCAAAGCACATTCCTGCATCACTGACGAGTTGAAAATTTGTGGAGAGAAGATGAGAATGATTTAAAATGTCAGTGTGATTGAAGCTTTTCCTCATTTAAGTCAGCCACTGATATTAGTGACCCAGCCTGTTTACTTATTCTGTATAGGTAAGGAGGAGGATATAAGGAGTAAACTGTAGGTGTTTTATAAGCATGAACAGCATGAGTGATTGTGAAAGTCATCAGAAATCATTTTTGTGTTGCTGAAGTGGGCTGTAATATAGTGCAAAAAGAATTTTGTATTTGAAGGTCGTATGAGAGGTGGTGTGTTAGACACAGTAAACCCAACTCTGAGGCCTTTTGAATGTGGAATATTTTAAATTGCTGTGATGGTGCAAGCTGGCAGAAATCTACATTTTATGGGCTACATGTTATCTCAGCGGACCTTTTAGAAGGATGTATCTGGTATAATGCCTACAGATGGCCTGTTTTACATTAAATATATTATATTTGCGAACAGATGTGAAACCATTTGATGTACATACAGTGTCTTCCCCCCCACTTTTCTAGGCTTTTCAGTTGGGTCCAACAGAAGCTTCTCAATATTGGGTCTACTGGGTGCCTGCACAGTTTGTCGATGCAATCAAAGACACAGTCCTTGGGAAATGGCAGTATTTCTAATGTGCCTCATTTTTGACAGCGATGGACTGAGATTAAGAGAAAGAGCCGGTGACAAATGAAAGTGGAGTCATCAGTGGAGGAGAACTTTTAGGAATATATTGGAAGGAAACAGACAAGATGTCTGTGGACTAATCATATTCTTTTTAGGTTAAAAGTGCACTATGTGGCAGCGTAACATTTCTCAGCCCTGTTGATCACTCAAGGTTTTCAGCAAATCCAAGAGAAAACAATGAAACAATTGTACAGAAATTGCTAACATGTTTCTTCAGTTATTCTTAAAGAAATAAAACTTATTTAATGAAATAAAATCATTGTTGTTTGTCCTGTCTGCCATCAGGGTTTGCAGTTTTTCTCAATAGCTGTAGATCATTTCTTGAAATAGCACTTGCAGTGTCAAAACCTAACATGCATTGGTCTAAACAGTTTATACAGGCAGCACAACACTATGGTTCATTAAGGATCCGTATAAAAACCTTTAGCTCTTTATGTCAGCAAATGAGTTAGAATGAAGTGTTTCATCAGCGTTGTGTAAGTGAAGAATTTCAGAATGTTTAGTTGTTTTGTCAGTAGGACAATAGAGCACTTCAATTTGAAGTAATGTGTAGGAACGTTTATTATCTGTAACATTTAAAAAATGTTCAATTGAGTAAAACTAAGCACAGTATTACAGGAAATGGAGAGTAAGGTTTCAACAAAAATATGTACCTTGAAAACAATTAAAAAAATGTGTGTGGTATAGCAACATAAAATCACAGTATACACAGTACAGTGGTGCTTTTGCTCTGAAAATTCCTGAACGGAAGTGACGTTTATGCGGCCCGAAACAATTTCCGGCTAAACATTCTGCTTGGCGGGAAAATGGGACGAGGGTGGAGCAAACTTCTCCAGTCGTGGTGGACCGTCGTTTGGACACAGCTGCAGCAGTAACAACAGCGGTTATGTGCAAACGTCCTCCACCCGTTAAAGTGTTGTCCGGCCAGCTGAGGACGGCTGACCGCGGAGATGGATGGCTCATCAGACTGGGCAGGGGTCGGTCTTTGCTGGTGTCACTGGTGTGGATGCAAGGGACCGTACTGGAGGTCCAGCTGGACAGGAACGCGGTGCTGCTAATGGACGAGACGGGCACGTTTGCTGTTCAGGGCGTCAACAACATTCCCAAAGGGAAGCCATGTTTGTCCCAAGGTAAGTGCTGAAGTTGGTTTCTGATTGATCAAATAAGTCATATGTAAAGAGCTGAAGACAGTTCGTCTTTAATATGTGGTAAAGCTTTGTTTCAGTTTTCCATAGAAGTACACAAAACAGGTCAAGGTTAAATTAACAAACACAACTGCTGTAATTAAACCAGGTAAAACAAGCAGCTCGACTTCAGGTGTTCATCAGACTGATGGTCCAGAGGAAGAAACTGTCCCTGTGTCTGGTTGTCTTGGCGCACAGTGACCTGTAGCACCGTCCAGAGGGGAGGAGTTCAAACTGTTCATGTCCAGGATGTGAGGGGTCATCAGAAATCTTCTCTGCCCTCCTTTTGACCCGTGAGGTGTACAGGTCCTCATTGGAGGGCAGGCTGGCTCTGATGGTTATTTCTGTGAATTTCAGGAGTTTAACAGAGGGGTCCTCTGAGGTGCAGTCATTTTTGTAGAGGGAAAACTGTAGCAGGGAGAGGAAACATTCCTGGAGGATACCTGTGCTGATAGTGTGGGTGCTGGATGTGGTTTTCTTCAGCCTGACCTTCTGCTTCCTGTCTGTCAGAAGGTTGGAGGAGGTTGTCCAGGATGATGGTGTTGAACGCCAAGCTGCCAAGCATTTTCTTGAATCACTGATCGTTTAGTCTATAAAATGTCAGAGCACAGTGAAAAATGTCCGTCCCAGTTTGCCACAGTCCAGCGTCGCCTTATTTTGTCCAACATGACAAAATCCAAAAATATACAACTTGGAATAAAGTTAAACAGAGAAACAGCAAATCCTCTCAAAGAAGAGGTTGGATCCAGATCTTTTTTTTTTTTTTCTTTGGGAAGAAAAAAAAAAGTTAATTGGTTATCAAATTTGTTATCAATTATTTTCACTGTTTTCTATTCTTTTATTGCAGCTCTAATGCAAGACAGTATCAACTGACAAACTGTTTTAAAGCCTGTATAAAACATTTGTTTGGGAAACCTTCACACCATGTAAAACCAGAAAAATCGTGGGCCAGATTTTTAAAAAATCTGACAGACAAGTTGTCTCAGGTTGACTGTTTACACCTTTTATTATGTTAGTGAAAATTGGAAAAAAATATATTTTTTCTTCCAGATCACTTTGCACATTTATCTAGTTTTAACAGAAAAACAGTGAAGTTGCCCTCTTTGTTTTCAGATGTAGAACCAAACATTTCTGGAACATGGTGTGAAAGATTTCTGTTAACAAAACAATCAGTGTGTTGAGGCTTTAGGGCTCTTATGAATGGAGCGTCATGAGCTTGAAACATGAAGCATTGCTGTGGCTTGTCAAGAAAAATGCAGGTATTCGTTTTAGATTTTTTTTTTTCCCCACCTTATGGCAAACGGCTACCACTTCTAATTCTGTCTGGTTGAAGTAGGTGCAGTAATCCTGAAAATAATGTCTTGATCTCTCCTATCACCATCCTTGTTTCCTTGAATCTATTGTCACGGAACAATCGACCACCTGCTGCTGTTGTTACAGGCAAATATGTCATGGTGATGGGCGTCATCCAAGCAGTCTCCCCGGAGCCAGTCATCCGTGCAGTGAAGATGGCAGATCTCTCTGAGCTCGCTGTGCTTCACAGACGGATGTGGAAGCTGGAGGTGGAGGACCTGCAGCAGGTGCTGGCCTGAAGGCAGAGCTGTGGGTGGAAACGCTGCCACGCTGGTGGCAGGACGACCTGATCGTGTGGTGTGTCCAGCTGGGTCTGTGATACTGATGTGTTTGTTGACAGATGAAAAACTGCATGACAGGACTGAACAGCAGGTTGTCCCTGAGGTCACGCTCCACTCTGTGAGGTAGGACGTACGAGCAGCTTTGCTGTGACTAGAGAGACTTGTGTTTGTGCATATTTTGACAGTGAATGGTGACACACAACAGCTTTTAATGATTTTTTTTTTCCACTTGGCCCCTGCCCCAAGAAAATCATACTTATAGAGAGAACTAGAGTTGTACATTATAAATGACAATTGCTAACACATGGGTGGAACAGCTAAATTAACAAGCCTGGACATTTTCTCCACTGGCCACCCACTTTAATAGGCACACCTGTACAACCGTATGCCATTCAGTGCAACACTTCCACCTTCCATCTGTGTTTATGAAGCTCAAACTGTTTGTTTTCGGTGAAATGGTCATAAATGTATAAATTCAATTATGTTTGTTACTGAGGTCATAGTTAAAGGTGGTGTTGTACTGGACTACATTATATTCAGAGCTGTCTATATTTTTGTCCTTCCCAGCTACATACATGAGAGGGCCAGAATATTAGGAACCCCTCTGAATTTATGACAATTTCACCAAAAACTGAAACTGTTTGAGCTTCATAAACAAGGATGTGAAGGTGGAAGTGTTGCACTGCATGGCATACGGTTGTACCTAATAAAGTGGCTGGTCGGTGTATATTAACTCAGTCTCAGAACTGAGTCTGAGTATTGAGAGTATTTTCAACAGGGAGTGTTGAAAATACTGTTAATGTAGAAAATGACTGGCCTTGTGCTTAATTATCACCCCTGCAATTGATTTGCTAAAGCTTAGGGAGCAAAATGGTGCCCACTTATGGGGGCGTCTGGTTGTCATAGCAGTAGTTTAATGACTTGGTGTTTTCATTTACAGAAGATATGACACCAAGAGTGCTCTACAGATATTGTCTACCTTTCTGTGCTAAATAGTTTCTACATGTTGCATCAGGATTGACTGTGCTAGGAAAAAAGTTTGATTGCTGTACAAGATAATTTGTTAGAATGGTCTAACAAATACATTTACTGAGGTACTGCGTGTATTGTAAAGTATTTTTTTTTCCTAGTACTTGTACATTTACTATATTTTTAGATATGATGTAAAATAGCATTGTTTCTGCATTGAGTGCTTTACTTTTGATAATCAAAATACACTTTGTTCATAATACTTTAAGCTTTTCAACTCAATTTGTAATTGTGTTTTAACAATGTATTATTCATAAAAGATCTGAATACTTCGTCCACCTCTGGTTACAGATGTGTAATAAACCAGCAGATTAAACAGATTAAAAAAAAAAAAAAAAAAAAACTTTATTTGGTGTGGTGCCCATTACACAGGTAACACTATTAGATAAATGGAAAACGACCTATGTTGACAGATTAAAATAAGTGTCAACTGAACTTTCGATTCAAGGAGCCCATACTTAAAACTCACTGTAGGATAAGGGTTAACATACAAACTGGTTATGAAAAGAACTTTTTAGGTCAAATGCTAGATATCTCAACATCTCTCATCAAGGTTCACACATGCTGTTTTCATCACCATTTTCAGTTATCCTACTGAAAGGTGCATAGCAAAGCTCCATGTGTCTTACACTGAGAATCTGCTGTTAATGACAACGGTCGTGTACTTCTGATCACATTAAACCAGCTACCAGTCAGAGGGCTGGCTTCTGAATGCGCTCTCTAAAATCTTTCTGTGCAACTCAGGCCCTCAAGGATCACCTGGCTCAAGACTGTCTGAATACTGCGTTACTTGCAAGTGGGGATAAATATTGTCATCACGTCATTATTTAATGTCTTTTAGCAGAAAACTGTATTTTCCAAAGTCATTGTCATTTGGTGCTATAAGATGGTCTTTTCTGGCTTTGGCAAGTTTCATCAAAAGGAATTCCCTGCGCTCCATCCACTCTTTTAGCTCCTGCTCCCCGTGTGCCAGCTTGCACGAGTCATCTTCTGTGCACGTGCCTTTCAAGAACCTGTCAAAACACAGGATCAGATGTCAGCCATCAAAAATTGCCGATATCATGCTGGAAACCGGAGACGTACGCTGTGACATACTGCGGATGACGATCTTACCTCTCACAAACTTTGAAAGTGCCTGTGGGAAAACGATACTGCCAGCAGTTCTGATCGTCCTCAGAGTTGAAAACTCTGTCTTTGTGTTTTTCTGAAGTGATATGCTGCTGCCACTGCTTCTCACTGTTGCAGTTTTTACCACACAGCCAACAGTGATTGCCAGCCTGTGAAAACACACAAACCTCATTTACATAACTAATTACCATCTGTTCCTTAATCATTCACACTTATCAGTTTTTTTTAAATCGCTTAACAAATAACATGATTTTATCAGAATGTTCACACAATTTACCCACCAGGTACTAATAGTCGGTACATTAACACATCCTGACAACAAAATGATCTACCAAAAGTATACAACGCTGCTAATGAGTCTGTTCTTTCACTACAGGACCAGGGTTTTCGGAAGGCTCAGGGGCTTGCACAGCTGCATGTCCGCTACGATCAAGTGATGTAATTTTCATCGCCTTCCCGGTTTCACATGGACTTCCGCATGCACGCCAAAAGTTTGTCCACTCAGACAGTTTGCACAGCAAAAGCCGAATCCCCTTAGGGCTAGACGTGCCTTGTGCATACCCTTGTGCCTACATTGACCAGGGAAACGCACACATTCCTATTCATACTTCAAATCTCTGCCTTTGGTCCGTTTACACTGACCTTTTCCAAGCATTGTGGTACATGCGTAGTATTCAAAGGAAATTCTAAATTGGCATTTTTGCACCATCAACTAACTACTAGCTTCCTTAGTTAACACAACTTAGCTAATTTAGTATGTGTTGGCTTCATGAGCAAGTTTTTTTTGACGATCTTATCTCTCACAAACTTTAAAACGTCACCGATTGTTGTTTCCTGTTGGCAATTTAAGTGTCCTTGTGTGATCAAGTGACCTCTCCGTTAGTTTTCAGTGCATATAACTCACTGTTGTTTTAAACATACATTCTGATATGTAACCTTTTTACATTCATTCGACTAAGGTGCTCTGCAAAAACAGGCACTGTGCTTAAAGGGGACCGTGGCCAGGAAGTGTTGCGTCACAGCTTCACACGACTCCTGTAACACACACCGGGGACAGTGCAAATTCAGTGGTGAGACTACTGAAATGGATGAGTACTTCAGTGTTTTATGCTTTTGACGTGCATCAACGCCGGGAAAATAGAACAGTAGAGTGCCCCGAAACAGGGATGCGCATCTGTTTGTGGTCGGTATGTGGGCTTTCATTGAAAATAATGGGTGCAGGTGTTTTGATGCAAATCTCATGCCACCTGCGTGCAGTGCCATTAAGCCTTTCTATGGTACAGAAACCCCAGGGACAATGCAAACTGATCCTAAACTGAACAGAAATTAAATAATAATTTCACAGCATTTCACCACAGAACAAAAGTGACACTAGGCCAGTGACCAGTTCATATACACACACACACACCTTTTACACTAGCAGACAATTACACTTCACTCACCACTTCCTCAGCGTAGTCTGTTGGCATGTGGATCTGTTTTCCATTCTCCCGAACCGAGTTACTGGAGGTTTCCTCACCCCAGCCAGGCTTCTGAGACTGTAGCCATAGCTCATAAAGCTGATCCATATCTGGAACTAAATGAAGGGATGAAGTGGGTGATTACTTGCAGTGCATCACATACTAATTAAATTGTGTCAGGTAAGAAGTCAGTCTCCTTAACAAAACTCACTGTTATTTTCCTTCATGTAGGTCCAAAGGTCTCTTTCTTCTATGCTGTGAGCAAAGGTGCAATTTCCAATGTATTGACACTTCTTGCCAGCGTTCACATGCATGCATATCTAAAAAAGGGAAATTACATTTGCCGATCCTTGATTAGATACACAACATACAAACCTAGGATGGAAAAATGGTCAGGCACATACCTCAAACTGAGATGGGATTGGCTTTTTAGTTGGAAGTGGTCTGACTGTTGTCCACTTTTTTCTTTCATTGGAACTTACAAGCACCACCCGCCTGTCTTTTGCCCACCTGAAATAGAGTTAGAGCTGGACTTAGTGGTGACAGACTGGAATGTACTGGCTCATTCATCAGTTCACCATGTTCATCTTGTATGTGTACAAAGACCTCTCAAAATACGTACGTGTGTCTCGCCTTGGCTGAGCAATACTTCTTGTTTTTGTCAGCTTCACTTAGTTGGCCGTTTCTCCAGCACTGGCCACAGACAAACATCATCTTCAGATTTGGAGGCCCAAACCTCCTCTGGGCATTGGAAAGCTGTTGAGATTTGAAAGAGGTTCAAATCTTTGTGATTAACACAAAGCAGCAGTGACACAGTGAAAGGAGACTTAGCCAACAATACACCCCAATCAAGCCGCACCTGAGTCACTGAGGAGACAACAACCTTAACCCAGGTAAAATCATTTACAAGTTGTGTATCTGACAGGCAACATATGACTGTTTCATAGACTATATTTGATCTTAATAAAGTGTTAGCAAGAATAAATACATCATTTTGAGTCAACATTGGGAAGAAATAAGCCATTAACATGAGAAGCCAGTGAAAAGAGGTCTTATGTGACGCTTGCCTGGGTTCCCTGTAACGAAGCTGCTGCATTCCAGTACTTCTTTGCTTCTTGGACAATACTTTCATGAGTGATACCTGTATGATGCAAAATCAAAGTAAAAAAAAAAAAATCCGATCTTCTGAAAGGGTGCCGTGTTGACAGAGTGGAAATAAAATCATTTTAACACCAACCAGCTCAACTATTTAAAGAAAAAAAAAAAAAAAAGCTGTCTTACCGAGCTCATGCTGCATCATCCAGACCTTCAGCTCGATGAGGCTGTGGGCGTAGAAGCAGTCGTCCTCTCTCACACAGCCATAGCGGACTTCATGGCGACAGAGATCCAGCTGGCACTGGGGACTTAGAGGTCTGATTTTGGAATAACGGACTGTATTCTCCTTCAAAATGTGGACCAGGCACCTAGAATACAAATAGAGCCACAATGCTCACAATTCTCTCTCCTGCTTGTTTTCTCCCTCATATATTTGAATGTTGTTTAAGCTTTACAAAGGTATGAAATGTAAACGTACTTATGATCCTCAAAGTCATGCTTTGTCACTGGATGAGAGCAGAGCGAAGGGTCATCTTTGTTGGTTTTGCTGATTATTCTGGGTTTATGGTCAAAGCACACCTGCAGAGCAAAACATTTTCAAATGTATTACAGGAATAGGAATAAAAGCAGTACAAGACTGACATTCACACGACCTCTGATGATTGGCCACCCGGGCTCCTATGATGCAGCATGAGGCACTGCAGAGGTTCCATAGTTGGTATTTCCACATAGCAATATAGCACTGCCATAACAGCAGTAGTTTTATTTTGACATATACTGTCACATTCTTAGCTATATCAACACAATTTCAAAGCTAAAAACACAAAGTTAATGTGACAGTACCATCAAATCTCAAACTCCCTACTAACTACTAATGGCCACCAGAAAAACAAAAACACCCCATTTACATTTCTCATATTCCAGTCGTCACAAACTTTTTACATGTAAATGCATTTTTCCCCAAATTTTGTTCAAGAGCTGAAAAATGATGAGGCTCATTCTGAACAACCATCTGTTGTCTTATCAGCAGAAGATTCTTCCTTGTAAGAAATCTTCAAAGAGGAAAATCTGTTTACAGTGAGACTGTTTTTTTTTTTTTGTCCTCACACTGAAATGAAAAATAGTGCTGCCAACGGACATCACCAACAGCATCAAGTTCCAGGAGCACTATACCACCGCCTTTACCAGATATTAAAAACAAACCATCGCACTCTGGTGTCCTACATGCTGTGATGAAGGGTCTAAATATATACTCACCCCACAGAGAAACATAAATATCCCATGATGCTCCTGTAAGACCTTGGGCACAGTCAACCGTACATTGGAGTTTGGCCCAAAAGGATCAAAGAGCAGCTCTCTGGAGATAAACCCTTTTCGCTCTAGAGTCCAAACATCAATCTCTTCCTGGCAGTATGCAAACGTGCAGTGTCCAGGGTACAGACACTCTTTTCCAACAGCCACCTCTGAAACGACAAAAGCAAACATTGTACATGCTAGATCTTAGCCAGACATGTGAGTGTCAAATGTGCCAGAAAGTACAAACCCCATTTCCAGAAAAGTTGGGACATTTTCCAAAATGCAATAAAAACTACAATCTGTGCTTTGTTAATTATGCTTGAACCTTTATTTAACTGACACAAAGTGTGTTCAATATTTTCACTGACCAATTTAACTGCATTTTCTAATTAACCACAGAGCACGTTTCCACTGTCGTTCGGTCCACCTGAGATGAGCTCGGGCCCACAGAACTCAGCTGTGTTTCTGCACAGAATTGATGTATGATTTCCTCCTTGCATAACAGAGTTTTAGATTGCATTTCTGGATGCAGTGCCCAACTGTGTTAAGAGACAACAGGCTTCCAAAGTCCTCCTGAGCCCATGTGGCTATAGTCATCATGGTAGTGTGAGGGTTTCTCATGCAATGACTCCTAAAGGTCATGTAGGTTCAACAGTAGCTTTCAACCTTGGCCTTTACGTGCTGAGATTTCCCCTGATTATTTTCAATATATTATGTACTGTAGGTGGTGAAAGACCTAATAATTTGCAATCTTGCATTGAGAAATGTTGTTTTTGAACCATCTCTCACAAAGTTTGACACAAAGTGGTGAGCCATGACCCATCCTTGGTTGCAAGGCCCGAGTCTGTGGTGGATGCTCCCTTCATACCCAATTATATCACATCACCACTTGCCAATTAACCTGCTAATTTTGGAATCTTCCAGAGAGGTGTTACTGGAATATTCTATAAGCTTTTCAGTCTTGTTTAGTCTCTGTCCCAGCGTTTTTGTATGTTGCAGGCATTACATTTTAAATTAGTTTATATTTACCAAGTGCAATTAAGTTGCCCAGTGAAAACATCGAAAGCCTTTTTTTTGTACCTCTGTCAGTAAAACAAAGGATCCAGTGAACTAACAAATCACAGATTTTAGTTTTTATTGCATTTTGGAATTTTCTGGAAGTGGGGTTTAGTGACAGCGGCATACAGATGAAGTTAGAGAAATACATGCCGTGTAGAAGTATCACACACTGGATCGAACGGCAAAAATGAAGTAGCCATTTATGTTAATTTTTCACATTACCTTTGCATATGTAATAAGGTCCAACATATTGGGTTTTTGTTGGTCTGGGCCGAATGAGCTTCCATGTTTTGTCTGGCAAATGTTTAATTCTGCCGAGTAAAGCATCCTTTTTGCATTTATGCTCTTCTGTATGAAGTGTGTAATCCAGCACTCCAGGCCCTGTGGATATAAAAATGAAAAAAATAAATAAATAAATTAGGCCACAGTAAAATACTTCCATGTGGCGAATGATGCTCACCACCCACCCTCACACCCACGCGTAGAGTAAAAACAGTTCCTCACCGGTTTTGACGTAGCACACTGAGCAGGCTTGTTTGAATTCATGTGTTTCAGCTAAGGGGTTCTTTGCTAAATCCACAGCACCGGGGAGGCCCTTCACTTCAGGCATACCCACAGCCATTCCCATTGGGGTTTCATTATTGTTCATCTATATGTAAAGAAGACAAACATAAAATTTAAGTGTATGACAATGTCTTGACCAAAAATGCCTAATAATGAATTAACATGTAAAATAATTACCTGTGGAATGAATGGACTTGGAGCATAATCTGATAGTTTGATATAGGAGGGAAAAAAAAACATCTGAATGACAATTATCTTGTTTATTCAATATGAGACTGTTGGAGTATTAATAATTTGAATCAAAGTACACAGCTATGGAGGAACAGTAACATACCTGTTTTGAATTCTGTCATGGTGAGACTATCCAAGGAGTCCAGTGGTGGGGGGAGGGCGTCAAAAGTGTCCATACCAAAATATGCACTTGACCCTGACTTGTGATAGAGCGGGGGCAGAGTTACGGTGCACTGCTGGGCACCACCGTGAAGAAATGGGTTGATGTGAGTTGGCATCAGGAATGAACTCGACATGGAACTGCCTGAGGCAATACTGGTTGGCAAAGGAAGAGGCCCCTTCACTGTAGGAATAACCTGAAGGAAGAGACAACCATAAAGGAAAATAAATGCACACTTCTGTTCAGATATCAACACACTGTCATATGTATTCCATCAATAAGGCCCCGTGGGCATATCTACTTGCTAACCATGCTTGAATCAGGGCCAGCTTGGTCCAGCAGATCATCTAGCTCATTCCCTATGATGTCTGCATCAAAATCTTGACTGGTTTCAAGCACTGTGCAAGGCTTACTGGTTCTGCAGCCATTTACAAAAGTGAGTGCAGGAAGAGTAGCTGATGTGGGTACAGACACAGGCAGGGGAACAGACTCAAAGCCTGGAGGTTCAGATGGGGTCACAGATGAGATATTGTTGGAAGGAAGTTCATCCACCATTGCTTCATTCAGGGATGGGTGCACCACCACTGGAGCCGGGACCGGAGCCACAACGCTGCTGTCCTGGGTCAACTGAGGCACTTCTAAAAGATATCGGCGACCAACAGGATTAGTGAAGTTTCCCATGCGCCACTGTGATTATCAAATCGAAGCTTCTCAAAGAAGAACTTACCAATTTCTATATCTTCAACTGAAGACAAGCCATATGAAAACTGAATAAATGCAACAGAAATTCAGTGAGGAATGCACCTCTTGGGAGAGTACAGATACATATTTTAGGATGCATAATGGGGAGATTATGTTGCTTACCTTATCACATGATGCATCTTGATAATTTGATCCTCGCAAAACATTCAAGGCAGGCTGTCAAAAAGGAAAAAAGCATTTTCTTTATGAAGTACATCAGGCCAAAATTAATGTGCACAAACTGCCATTTAAAAGCCATAAATTGTTATGACTGTGTTAACTGCAACACAGTTTTAAGAAAAAGACAGTGTCAGTTGGCACACACATACCTTACTCCTCACATAAGCTTTGCGGATTTTCAGTCCCAAAATTTTGGCAAGGTCCTGAGTTAGCTGTATTACACTCGGATCCTGGGGAAATAGCATGCTAACAGGAGTTTTTTTCAAACACTGGACAATAAATTGGATGAGAAAAGACCTGCTAAATCCTGTCCAAACATTCCTGCAACCACAGATCGACCCATCCTGTATTGTACAATGTTATAGGACAGTGATACAGCTGTGAGGCTTCTTAAAACCGAGTTACTTAGCTGACAGACATAATGCTTTCCTAATTTTTATTCAAGCATAAGCATGTATTTTGAGTTGACAGATTCAGCTGAAATGAAAAAAGCCCCTTAAATCTAAAAATGAAAAGGGGAGAATGCACTTGCATGTATTTTAATGCTGATCTTTAAATGCAGACTAGATTGTGGGTCAGGAAATATGCCAGAAACATAACTCCACTGGGTATGTCAGGCCTGCAGGCAGGCTACATGGCATTTCAGTTTGCTTAATTTTTATTGCATTTGCTAATACAAAAACGTGGGTGGAGTTCCTAAACATTTGGATGGATTAACATAAAACACAGATGCTACACGTTACCTGAGGCACTGCTAAAGAGCATTTGGCAACAGCTTCGTAAGCTTCTTGATGTCTCCCCATCTCCTTCAAGGATTTTGCTTTTCTGTACAGTGCTCTGTAGTTGCCCTCGTTCAGCTGCAGAGCCTTTTCACAGTCTTCTAATGCTTGGTCATACAGTCCCTACCAAAATAAATGTCACAGAGTCAGAAAAGGTGTACTTAACCTTAGTGCTGTAGCAAAGGATGAAGAAACTGTTCTTTGATCAGTTATTTGAGTGAGATACGGGTGTGGCTGGTACCCTTCCTGAACATGGCAGAGTGGCTTTTACTGACATGTAACATAATTCAATAAAGAGAGACACTGAGGCACAGAGAGAACAGATGTTCCCTGAAAGCTCCAATCTTCGCCAAATGGAAGTTTTCTTGCCTGAGTCCAGTTCCCTCAACTGATTTTTCAGAATCTGTCAGTGAGCAATGTGATATACCGATCAACTGTCTTGGTCATGTGAGACCAAAAGATTTGGAAAAAAGGGAACCCATCACAACAACAAATTAAAGTTGTTGATTTTGTAATTCATGAAATCTGTGGATAACTGTTTAAGACAGTTTCCATATTTTATAAAACTCCTGAGACCTTTTATGCTGTTATTTACAACTTTGACTCAAGTTATACTCACTACATTACAAATTGTGTCAGAATATTACAATCTGGAGTGTTAAAGCTCAGCAAAGCTTTTAAAATGTTCACTGTGCATCAAGGAATTTAATTTTACTATATTAGAAGAATGGATGGGTGGATATATTAGAGGTATAAACAGTCTAGCATATAGTTTTCTTCTGCTCCATTCTGAAATTTGGCCATGATTAAGTCACTTCATTATGTATGCAACTCACACCTTTCAGATGGATCATTATTTGATGCATTCATAACAAGCAATTCATCAACTATCTTCTTAATGTACTTATTGATCCATTTATGCCTGACAAAATTATGTTGTCAAATTAAAGGATAAGGTCAGTGATGTTTTTGCTAAATCTGTTGCCTGTGAATCCAGAACCTGGTTTAGCTCATTCACCTGTCCGACATGTTTCTTCCTCAGAAAAACCCATGCTTTTTCTTTTTTCCAAATATTTAAAAAAGCCCCAAAGACTAAGAACAGCTATCACTCTTTATAGTCACTGAGGTACAAAAAGGTCAACGTGATCTCTGCTCTGTTTACACCATTGTTCGAGCTTCTTGTATTGAGCATTTTGCAACTTTTTTCCTCTCATTTCTTTTGTGAGGAAAAAACATGCAGAAGCATGGCTCATGTGTGTTTTTAATAGCTTTCCAACAACAATGAATGAATGGCCTAAACCAGTTTCTGGATGCACACACATTACGATGAGAACACAAAATTCATTGTTGGCTTTAGTCTCTGTACAAAGATTGTTTAGCACATAAAAACTGAGACTCACCAGCCCCATCTTTTAAGTTTATTACAACTTATTTTAAGGTGTAAAAAAAAGAGGTTAGAAATTAACTGGTGCATACCGGTAAAAAGAGCAACAACATTTAAAAGGAACAGTTTTATGTTTTAGGAAGAAGCGCTTATTTGCTTTCTTCTCTGGAGTTAGATGGGGAGATCACGTCTGTGTGCAGGGTGTAATGATTCTGTGCCGTCCCATGGGCAAGTGGTTGCCTGGCAACCAGTAGATACTCAAAGCCGAGTAAAGCCAAGAAATAGTATGTAGAACCACTTCTTGTATTTTTGTACAGATTTATGAGACAAGATATACCATATTAATTAGTGAACATGAGAGATGGTGGTAGGTTGATTTTTAAAACTTAGCAAGAAGGCAAATAAGCATCTCTTAAAATAAACTATTCCATTAAGGCAACAAACTTGATCAATATCAAGATAAATTAATGTGTGGCAAAATTAAGCCTTTTTTTCATTAAATAAACCTAAAACGTAGCCTGGTTTGTCAGCCTGAACAGTAATGCATGCAGGTATTTAAAATCTCAGGTGATGTGTTGAAGAAGGGAAAACGGAAATCACTTAAGAGCACAACCAGTACTCCCTTAACCATAATTACATCCCAAATGAGATCTCCCTACACACAGAAAATACTAAAGCTAACTCCACCCCACTGTATCACATTACCCTGGCTGCCCTGAAGTGAGACTGCCAAACTGGAAGTGCCACTGTGGGCGACTGGGATCTAAAGCCTCAAAATGTCTTACATCTGTACTGACAGTACCGTCTTCTCTATTTCGTAGGAAGAGCCAACAGTCTCTTGTACGGTATGAAGATTCTTCTTTTTTGGTTCTATGGTGTCAAATGTTGGAAATGAACTTAGTACAGTATTGTGTACACAATCCAAACAGTCTTGACAGATGATATAATGTGATGTTGCATGCATGGTTGACATATTAAATCACTTTTAAGGCATGGACACAACATACTTTGGTTGTAAAGAATGGCTGTGATGACAGAGAATTTATAAAAAGGTAACAGTATAGTTAGATAGAAATCAGTTTTTTGATGCAAAAGCTTGATGTGTATTTTTAAAGACATAATATCTTTGATTATATTACATGATATATGCTATATTCTTGTTAACTGTGACATAACGTTTAACTTCCAGGTCCAAATTCCCCCAGAACCAAAAGGCGGAGCCTGTCAGCCTCTACACAATAACATCCCCCCTTTTTTTTTTAGTGACGCCTTAATAAAAGTAAAAAAAAAAGGACTAAATTCTTTTGTCTCAAACAGAACAGTCAGTGTAACCATTCTACATATATGTATACGCCTAACTTTTTTAATAACTCCCATATTTTACTGTTACTTTCAGTGTAAAATGTGTCCGTGTATAACGTTTAGGGTAACTTTGTCCTAACTAGCTAGCTACATTACAAGGCAGTAAAACAGCAGTTTATTTAAGAATTAAGTATTAATGTAAGACTACTGAATTCCCTAATCAACTGTAGCCATTTCTTTTTCTCTTTCCCACTGCAGGGAAAGCAATAAAATGACAGCTAACCTATGATTTTTGATTCAGATCTATTGAAACAATGGGGAACACAATGCTGCGGCATGGTGAACTGAGGAGATTTAAGTTTGGACTCAGAAACTGAATGTTATGTCACTACTTAACAAGTGGATACAGGCCTACAGACTGTGGATCACGTAAAACCTCTTTAAGAGTGACTTGTTTGAATCACAGTTATTAAGATTTTGTTATGAGGAAAAGACAATACATCATAACAAGGAAAGCACAGGTGTTAACTAACTAATCGTACACATTTCCTAGAGTTTCCTATATTATTCTGACATTTTGTTTGCTGTGTTACAGTGCATGCAGTCCACCCTGGTTCTCAAACATGTGCTAAAAAGCCTTCACAATGGGAAAGCCCTTTTAAACTACAATTTAAATTTAAAAACTACTCTACAAGACCCAAAAATGCTTCTTGTATCTTGGACTTTCCTTGTCACATACTACTACAACAACTGATTGTTATTTATTTACATATGTGAACTATAAGATGAAAGAGAGGGAATTTCTAGTGATTTGGACTGAAACTGGGAAAAAAAAAAAGCGAGACATGAATGTGACCACCTACTTACCGGAACAATATTTAGGTATGCTGCAGCTCGATTTGCATACAGCTTTTCTAGTAAACCTGTTGGAATACAAATTTCTTCCGAGTCAGCGTAGTCTGCTATACTCAAGGCCTCTGCATACATTTCGATGGATTTTGTCCATTCGCCCTCTTTAAACACATCATTCCCCTCTCCAAACAGATTCCACACAAGGTCCTTAATGAACACCTGGAAATGAAAAAGAATCAAGTAAAGAGCATGTAAATACACAGTGTGCAGCTAACCGTTCCCTTTATTGAGGCACCTTTCATTTAGAAAATTTTTTTTTTTTTTATACAACTCAGTGATTGGCCTTAAATACAAGGCTGAAGCTTCAACACCCACATTGAAATTTACATAGCTTACCTCATACTGCTCCTGACTTCCAGGAAATGGAAGGGTTGATCTGAACGTAAAAAAGGTTCAAAGTTACAAACCCTTAAATTATCATCTGAATGACAAAGGACACTCATGATTAGATTTGAGCAGAATACAGCAAAACAAAATACACAAGGCTTCATCTGATGTAACACATTTTGCTTTGGATTACCATAAAACAACACCACACACACACACACACACACCCCACACACACACACACACACACACACACACACACACACACACACACACACACACACACACACCCCAGCTTGAGGCACACGGGACATCAAGACAGGAAAATGTGTGTGTCAGTGTTTGCTGTGTGTGCAGGTGCTGACTTCTGAATGCAAACAAGTCAGCAAAAATAACAGCCTGTAAACAACCCTTCACCTTCTAAAAGCCAGATTTTAGTTTCAATTTTAAGTTTAAAAAAAAGTTTGTTATATATGAGTGAAGTGTCAGGTTTTGCTAAATGATAACACTAATTAAGAACTTTACTTTTTTGATACAGTTGGACTATGAGGGTATTAAGTTTTAGTTTAGATCATCACACTTTCATTGAGCCATGTTGAGCAGCAAAGGCTGCCTGTATTCAGAAGCCTGACAGCAGCAACATCAGCAATAGGCTATACTGTCTAAAGCTAACCTCTGTTTTTAGATGTCTTAAGCACTTCTGTTTGTCTTTCCAACACATTTCTAGCTTGAGTCATTAGTTTAAGTTGTTCATTTTAAATAATAATTAAGAAATTATTAAACGCAAATTATGATGTACCAGATTTTAAGTAATGTGGTTATGTTATGTATACTATCATGCTAACTATATATTTAGGAACATAATGGTGAGTTTTGTAGGCTTGCTAATAATAATAATAAATAATAATAAATGCATTTTAATTTGTGGTCCATTCATGTAAACATGAAACATGTGAAGTGCCAAGCATTATATTACACACAATAAGCAAAACAGCCATTATAGTTGTGTACAGACATATGCAAGTTAAGAGTAGGCCTAAATGTTTAGGCATACTCAGATTTACTTTTAGCCATCAGCAGTAGCAGTTATGTTTGTACTGGCCCTTTACATTAACATGAACATATAGCTTAAATTATTTCAAACCATTAAAATTTTTGTGCTTTTAACATTGTAAGGTGTTATGCACTTTATAAATGATCTTTTTTTGCTTAATAATGCACTTCACAGAAACATGGCATATGCATTAATTAAAAAAAGCATTTGTTTTTGTAATGTGGAAAATATATTTCTGCATTTTTTATACAACCGATTAATCTGTCAATTACTTCTATGATTAATCAATTTCTAAAATAATTATTAGTTACAGCCCTATTGAAAATAGCTGTTTACTACAGTAACCTGGCTCTCTGCATTGGAATTTAGGTTTTGGGTATCTTAGAAAACCTTACACATTGTGACATTAGTAAAGTTTCAGTTTGACTGAACAACAGTGACATGCGCTGTAGTTTTTTTAAGTATCACTTTTGTTTCAAGAATAAAGGGCCTTGTCAGATGAGATGAAATTCAACAATGCGCTGCCTGGTACACTGCTAATACAACAACTGGACATACCTCAATGTCTGCCTGATGTGTGAATGCAAAAACCCAGATTAAAAATACAACAAAATTCGAGAGCGAAATCAGCTGTGTCACTGACACCAAGCTGATCTGAACAACAGTGCATGAAGCAGGGATGACAAATCATTCTTGCATCATGCTGCCTACAGTGGTCATTTAAAGGACCCACAAACACAGGTGGCAGCAGCAGACGTATTTCGAGTTTGTAAGACCCTTCATCTTAAAACACTGTGGAATCTTTGCTATTAATAAATTCAGTAGGGTGAGCCAGTGTTACCAAAACTATGACTAAAAGTATTCACTGATATATTTTTCAGGACAAAAATGAAACTAAGACTAAATAAAAATGTTTGATAATGACAACCGTGACAAAATGTTTTACATTTATCAATAAAAAGTATAAACACATAAAAAGTAAATCATAATGTGAAAGATAGACAAACGGACATGAAGGAACTTAATGACCTGGCGCATCTGAGGAATCACACACTGTAGACACTGATCAGTAAGTTTCCTCCACTAGCCAAAATCTCTGTGATTCAGATGTTGAATTAGCCACTTTATGTGTTTCACTACCGTCTTACATTCAGTAACCTTCCGTCTTTGGCATTAGCACTCCTTGAATGACACAGGTTTATGAATCACATTCATCCACAATCCAGAGAATTACACACAAAAAGCACTGGGACACATTAGGAAAATGCAGCAGTACACCATACGAAACAGTAGGATAATTTAACATGAGACAATGTGGATGTAACATTAATGTTCCTTTTAGTCTGATATCTTTTGTCTTTCTATCAGTCAGTTCAACGATTAATATGGGCAGTCAAACATAAAACATCTCTAAACGTTCGCTGCAGAGATCCCACTGTTTCAATGTTATCCGACGATTTAGCGTTACCTCTCAAACTCAGTGAAGAGGATTTTGGCACAAATGTGAGCAAGTCCAACTTCTGCAGAATCTAGGGACAGTGTGTGAATAAAGCACCATTTTGCACAAACCTCACAACAGATGCGAACATGTGCCTACAGTAATCAGTTTCATTATAAAAGTTTAACAGCATATTTTTTCATTAGTAATCAGCACAGAGAGAATGTGTTGTACTGATGTTTGTGTAAACCTGAGATGGTTTCTCATAATAAAACTAAAGTTATTTGGCTGCTATTAACACTAATGTGAGCATGGCACCATCTAAGAAGAGGAAACCTTGGTATGCTCAGCCACATGTTGAAGTGTCCTTGGGCAAGACACTGAACTCCAAGTTGCCCCCATAGGTAGAGCAGCCGTCGATGTAATTTGGTGCTACATATGGTTTCCTCGGTTCTGTACCAGACACAAATTCCTTTTGTGTATTACATACTTGGTCAAATAAAGTGATTATCATCATTAAAAGACTCAAATTTGACTAATACTAATATGCATTTTTGTCAAAAGACAAAAACAAAATCAAATTCAGGTGTCAAATTAGGTGTGAGGTATAGCCAAGTGACTGAAAACATTCTTCACCTCAGTCTGGGCTATTTGAATATGTATGTTGCACTGATGTCACATTATAAACAGCGACCACACATCTGGATAAAAATATTCCACCCAGTGAAATATATATATAATGTGTGTGTTTAGGGAATCATTCATTCATTCATTTTCATGCAGATAAGAAGAGGATTCTGAGAATACCATTGGAACAGCCATAAGTGTTTTTAAAATCTTTGAATTTTTCAGATGTCACCTATGAAATGTCTTCTACACAAACCAATGGTTACCTCTGTGACCTAGAAATATACCAATACATGAGAGGCACAACCTGGGGCTGATCTAAACACTTACTGGATGAATTGTAGGCCTTTCTGAATCTCCTGCCAGCGACTCCTTCTGTCCTCACACGCTCCAGACATGTTTGCCTGTTTTTAATATCCACTCCTCAGTCAGCACCTAAAATCATAATATACACAGTTATATAAACTGGTTCCTGGCAAAATCCCCAAAAATAACAACATAAAACACTCCTTCCTTAATGTTAATAACCAAAATGCAGGTTGTCCAACTGGTTAACTGGAAGTTCACTCAGCTGTTATATCAAAGTTTTCATAAGCTTCACCTGCTTGGCCTCAAATTTTTTATTGCTTCTTATTTAGTAATCACAACAAATGTGTAGTTCCGGAAATTAAGGCTAACATTTATGTTAGCTTAGCAAGCTAATGACGTCAATAGAACAGTTGTCAGTCGTTTTTGTGTATCGACGTTAACACTGGCAGCTACATATCTGATGGAAAGAGGCGCATACCGGCCTCAGGGAACTCGACATCTCTAAAAGCAAATGGTTCATTACAGGACATAATTTCGACTGCGCTAGCAAATATTTCAGTTTTTAATGACAAACTGTTACACTACATTTCGTACGAGTAATGTTCAAGGCCATTTATACTGAGAAATACTTTATATAGCAGCATATTTGTTGGATATGTGTAAAATTATGTGTGTTGACATATCAACTGTCTTTACATGCTTGAAAGAATAAATCAAATCAAATCAAAATGTTATCGCCTAATAACGTTAATCAGAGTGAAAGATTGCAATTACAGCGCATAAGCCAAACTGTCAACCTCGTCCTGTCAGAGCTAGTGTTAAGACCTATAACAGGTATAAAAAATTGTTATTAAGACGAGGACTTGAGTTACAGCACCATACAATATGTTCACCTCATGACTGAGGAAGATGGTGGTAACTTCATGTTAGCTTTAGGCGGGTGCCTCTGTCCTGCTTCGGTCAGCAAAGCCAAAATTAACTTTATTCTAGGAAAATAGGTGTATAGAAAATTCTGTCATTAAGCAATCATATCTACATCAAATCAATGGCTGGCTATGCGAACGTTTTATGAAGAAGGAAGAAGTGTCCGATAATGGGAGCATGACATTTAGCGCACGTGTGATACCCGCGGCTGGGGACCACCAAGTAGACTTCTTGCTAGCAATCATTTGCTAGCGAAGCCGATCAATTTGGAGCTCACAGTTTAACCGATGCCAACACACACAATCTTTACCGACAAAACACCTTCATTTTTCTCTGGTGTTGGGAACACAATGACTTAACCTACTATATGACGTTACCAGATCAAGTTTCTAGGAAGTAGACTGAACCTAACAAAGCATAGGCATGCCCAAGTTAAACTAGTTCCCTAACGCAAACAAAAGCGAGCTGTAGACGTTTAGCCCCTGGCTTAGACCCGGCAAATATCATATAGACGAATCAATAGTGGCTGTTATACATACCTACATAAATGGATCTTCATTCCAAACAAACCCTAGGTCGCTTATCTAAAAGGAGGGGAAAGATTTTCCGTTTTAGGTAAATTAACTTAGCTAAGTGTACTGTATCACTGCAGGCCGCCCTTTACTTCTTCTTCTTTCAACTCGTGCAAACATCACCTCCTGCGCACTGCTACCCTCTACAGGCAGCTTTAATGTCAATAAACCATTATTGTTTAAGGTAGGTCTATCTATATTTGAAAATACATTTTTCCTTTCCTTTTTTCTCAGTAATAATAATAATGCCATTATTTTCTATTTGATTGTGTTTCAGCATATCATATACACATTAATTTCATTGTTCAGCAACAGTTATCAAAACCAGATGTAGGCCTATATTCTGTGTGAGGAGGCAGACAGCCAACTGTCACTTTTTGCAGACAGGTGAAAATAATCACCTGCACAGGGTTCAGCGAGATGTCTCCTCATGCAGTACAGTGATTGGTGCAGCTATAATAGCTGCCAGGAGAAGGCGCTTATCTCACATCGTGCAGAAGCATCAATGAGAAACAGAGTCACAAAAAACCTTGAATATGTCCCCTTTTATCAAACCCCAAATAATGTATCTGTTAAGATTCAGCTGCCCTGACATTACCACATTATGGATGACAATAGAGTCCAGGGCGATAGGATGGAAAATATATTTAGAGAAAACATAAAAAAATGAAAAGCTAAAGATGAGCCATTTACAGATCAGCTCTGCAATTTGTCAAAGAGCCTCCGCTGTTAAACGTACACACCTGAAGTGCTGTTCAGTAAATCAACTGGCAATAATGATAGCTACAGGATGTCCTGAATGTATATTTTATTTGGAGGAGGTTTGTTGTGACATGTTTATTTACAACAGAAAAAGATGGATGGGAAGCATGAGTATATCTATGATTATTAAGGAATATATATAATTAGAGTACAATTACCATAATTATAAGTCAGGTTGCGTTTATTGTGAAAAGCATATTGTTTGAGCAAAAATTACAAGTTCATTGAAATATTCTGTATCTATGCAAAAAAATCATATATATATATATAGTACCTAAAATAAATTGTATGACTACTGGATGTTTGGAAAGCTTTAACCCTTAGGATTTTAGTTTTAGGTTTAAAACATCTGTCTAGGATTTATTTTATTTCAGGGATAATACAAACTGATCAACATTAGTTAGCCAAAAGGCTATAGTCCCTTAGCCAGGTGTTAAAATAACTATTGAAACAGGACACACAATAATGCAACATGAACTGGTTGAATGATACATAAAACTCAAATTACTAAAGCAAACATTGTGAAGTGGACAGAGTTAACACAATAAAATGTTAAGCATATATTCAGCACATACTGTATGTAGTTGGAACATGGCTGCATTACATCACATTATACAGATGAGACATAAGAACAGAAAAAAGCAAAGCAAATGAGAGCAGACATGGCACTGACTAGATATGATGACAAGTATTTATTTATCGATTTAGCCATGTTTTAAGGATAAATGCTATAAAAGTCACTGATTTGTATATGTTCCAGAACTGGGAAGCTCTTCTTGTGAAAGCTATCTGGTCAAAGGATGTTTTCCTCCTCGTGGACAGCAATATCCCCTCTTATTCTGGATTTTTTAATCTGTCCCCAACATTTTTCTGATATTTAAATGAATGGGAGAAGCCTGTACCTCCTTGCACCACATTTAGAAGGTATATCACAGTGGTGATAACGTTTAGCTTTATTATCTAGACTTCTACAGTCTGAGCTTGTTTATGTACAGATTGTACAGGTTATGTAGTTGTATCAGTAGTAAGAGACCAAGGGGTAAACAGTATGTTCTATGTGATAAGCTCACTATGAAGACAAACAGCACATTATGTTTAGACAGGTAACAGTGAGTTTTAATAATAAATAGGTCTAAATTAGAGTTAACATTCAGAATAACTCCAGTCTCTAAAATGTACAGTGTAAATGTTGTATTTCTATAAAATGAAAAGTAAAAATCATCTATTTTATTCACTTTCAAACACACAAATCACTGAGCTGAGAGAAAGCTGTGAAATCCCCCAGACTGTTTCATCTAGGAGGAGTTCAGTTTTATAAACAGTGAATCAGCCTCTGGCCAGTGGTGATGCACAAGAGATTATTCAGACTGTATCTATATAAAGCTCTCCGCCCAGTGCTCTCTTCAGAGAGTGGAAGTGAACGCCGTTTGGTGTGGAGTTGTGCTGCCTGTTGCACACCATGACTGCTTTGTACCGGATACTTCTCCTGTTATATGGTGAGTTGCTTATTTAGTTTAAAGTGGAGCTCCAACTATTGATGAAATGCTTGAAAAGTTATAAGAACACAGACAGAGTCAGCGCAGGTAACAGCCCTGAGAGAAAATGACTTGTTTTTACATATATATTTAGCGAGAACACTGCTTCAGGGGAGGAAGTGCAAATAAATGAATACTGCTGGTATTCTACAACTTTATGTACATGTACTTTCCCAGCACCTCAAGGAAGAGTTCGGTTCAAGAAGAGTGTGGCTTTCTACTGTTCATTCAGGTGTAAGAGTAAAGTTAATCCTCTGGGTCCCTTTCACTATTGTGCTGTGGTTCTGTAAGTTTCAAAGTGGCTACAGAGAGATGTGCATGTACTTCTCAAGATTTCTTAGATCTTGCCAATTAAAGATGGGATTGTGTATATAGACTGTGGACAAAAACATAGACAGGAACATCTTACTATAGAAATCATGCTAATAGATTGCAAAGAAACTGTATCTTTGTGAGACTATTTAATTTTAAGACTGACACTCCAATGTTGCTGTTACTGTGCCCACATCCTATATATCAAGCAAAGTGTGCCAGACTACCCTAAACACTGTGAAGTATAGTGTAAAAAAGTATTTTTTACATGAAGAAGAAAGGTTTGTTCACCCTTTTTTGTTGTCTATTGCTCTTAGCAGTGGCCTTTGTGCTGCCACTGAGGTCCCAGCGGACAAAAAGAGGACTAATCGAGCTGGCAGGAGCCATCAAATGCAGCACAGGTAGATCGGCCTTGGCTTACATGATGTACGGATGCTACTGCGGACTGGGGGGTCAAGGCTGGCCTAGAGACAGGGCAGACTGGTGAGGCAGCAGCTTTAATTGCACTCCTTTAAAAACCTTACAGAAAAAAATACAACTCAATGTCAAGGCTGCTTTTTTAAAAGAATATCACTGATGACAGTGTGTAACACAGTGTAGACATTCAGTTGACACTTTGTGTATGACCCACCTACACATTATCTGGTGCAAAAGATATAATCTGTCTGCATTAGTGTGTTTAGTACTCCACTCCAGGGACTGTGTGCACACATTATGTCCTCCTTCTGGATTTGGTTTTTCATCATCCTGCATTTTAATGAGTCGACTGAACCACAAAGGCTGTGCCACAGGATGGAAGGAGGGAATAATGTCCAAATTTAGAAGATTCAATGATTATTTCAAAATAGGTCCAAAAATTCCACATCCATATCCTAACTGCCATATTTTCCTTCTGACCAAACCCCCACAAACAAGTTAACTGTTAACTATCTGTTGTGAAAACCGTAGGTTGTTCCTCCCCACAGCAATCAGACTGTACAATACATCCCTGCAGGGATAAGCTAGGTGAAATTATGAGGGACTCAGCAATAGGCAACTGGGGATAAAATGCATTGTAAATATGCACATGTGTAAAATCTTGTCCTTGATTTCTCTCACATGCTTTCTATTGTCTTGTTTTAGGTATTTTTGATTAGTTTTTCAGAGATCCTCATGGCTACAATACAGGTATTTCTCCCATTGCGGGATTAATTATGGGAGTAATATTCATGTGATGAACTCAGCAAATTTTAGTGGTCAAAATTCAAAGGTCACTGTGACCTCATGTCTATCTCATTCTTGTGAATGCCACATCTCAGGACACCTTGAGGGGATTTCTTCAAAATACATTCAAATAAATTTTTTTATTAAATTCCTTCGAAGTCTTCACTACATATATGAGTCTGGACTGCAGACTCATATATATATATCCGCGATCTCATTCTTTCGGTCATGATCCAAAGTTCATGGCCATAGGTGAGGGTAGGAACGATCAATTAAGGTAGCTCCTCCTTTTTTTCTTTAGGGGTAGCACAAAAAACATGATGCACACACAATGAAAAACATGGCTAAATGTGAAGCTGAGACACAAATCAGGCCATGTGTGAGAAATATGTAGAGTTTATAAAAGCAGCTGATTGGACTGGAGGGGGAAAACAGAATGGTTGAACATGTATTTAATGGTATTTTAAGCTCTCACAAACCACAGTACTTTATAATTAACTTGAATTACTGCCTCAGAGTTGTATGCCTCCACTAACCATTCCAGTTACTTGCATGTTTGTCTAGACTCATATGTTGTGAGAATGGGTGGATGTGAGGTCACAGTAACCACGGCCTTTGACCAACAAATTTAATAAATCAATGTAAAATAAATGTATTATATCTAAAATGACTGTGTGCCCTTCTTGTTTCTCTTCAATAGCCATTTTTTAATCTTTAGAGAAAATTAACTAGGAAGCACAATTAACATAGCAGCGTTGTTTGTAGCACAAACAGCCAGGACTTTAAAGGCATCAGAACAAGTAAACAAAATAAATTTCATAATCTTAATGAGAAAACCGTTTCAGCAAAATCCTTGTTTTTCCAGATTGTCACTGAAAGAAGACATGTATGTTTTTCATTGCAGATAATTTGAAGGACATGTGTGAAAAGCTGCAGTGCAAATGTGACAGAGATGCTGCCAAATGTTTGAGAAAAGCACCTTTCATCCAGAAGTATGCCGTGTGGCCGGATTTGCTGTGTGGTTACAAACAACCGACATGTAATATTTACTGACACAATAATTGCATATGCATGTTTTGTCTGCCTTTTGCAAACACTATGTTATATTAATGATGGTGAAAATGGCCAAAGACACTTTAAATAGGCTTATTTTGTGATTTCAAAAAACTTTGTCATTATTGGGGGGTCTCTTAATTAAATTCTGAATTCACAGAATGAGATGTTTCAGGAGTAAACTAGTAATGCAGATGCCTTTATATCAACTGCCACTTTTATAAAGGTCAAAACCTTTGGGCATGTTTTTGACAACACTTCATTTTTTTAAAGCTATTTGAAAAATCTGCGAGCTAATAAACAAACTGAGGCTTTTCTACTTTTGTATTTCAAGTCTGCTCTGACACACATTTCCTTTTTTCCCACCAGAACCAATGTGTGAAATACTTCTGCTGTATTGTCATTGCTATTTCAGTGACACTGCAACCTTGCAGAGGCTTTCCTCAAAACCTGATTCAGACCATATTTAAAAACTTATTCAGTTCTTTAAGGCCAGCATGGTTTTAGAATCCTGTGCTAAAAGAGTAAGTTACAGTCACTCAAACGCTATTACATGAACTCATATACAGCTCCCTTATTATGAACCAGGTGTGGAGAAACCACTGTGCATGATCTCAGTGGCTGCTTTCTTCACAGCATTAAATACAAGATGTTTATAAAGTGGGAAGCCTCTACAGGAAAAATAATGTCATACAAACCAGTAGGATGCCACATGTAATGTTTAAGGTATAGATATTCACCTGTAGATGGTGCCACATTCATAATTATTAAACCTGAACCTTACTGACAACACAGGAACCAGATTTATTTAGATTTTTAGAAAACCACTATCTTTATATATTGAAGTTCCTAGAAATGAGGTACCTCTGAACAGTGCTTTGTTCAACGAGTCCACCACTCATGAATGTAGACTGAAATGGGAGATGGTGCAGTGTTCAAAGTCCAGGACTGGAAATAGTTCCGGGTCATGGCCCACAAACACTTGTCCAATTGTGTGCAACCTTTAGTGAGTTCAGGACATTACGCTCCATGCACCACAAGGCAGATGGAGAAAGTGATTCCCATTCTTTTGTTTGTGTAAAAAAAAAAAGAATGTTTAATGTATTTACATGTAAACATGTGTCATGTAAGTCTAACGAAGAAGAAAATGTAAGCACTTTGTTTTTGTGGTGTTAAAACTGAAAATAACATTTTTAATTTGTCCTTAGCTTAATTTGTGAAAGCCCCTCTGTAAAGTCAATATCTGCATTTTCCGCCTGACACAGTAAAGAGTATCACCATCTGTAATCAAAGCCCTCCCAATTGTTATTGTTGTACTGACAGTACTGTCCATCCATCCATCCATCTTCGTCTGCTTCATCTAGGACCGGGTCTCGGGGGCAGTAGCCCAAGCAGAGCCTTCCAAACTTCCCTCTCCCCACACACCTCCTCTAGCTCCTCAGGAGGAACCCCAAGGCATTCCCAGGCCAGCCGGGAGACATAGTCTCTCCAACGTGTGCTGGGTCTGCCCCGAGGTCTTCTCCCGGAGGGACATGCCCGGAATACCTCCCCAGGGAGGCGTCCAGGGGGCATCATAAACAAGTGCCTGAGCCACCTCAACTGGTTCTGCTCAATGTGGAGGAGCAGCGGCTCTACTCTGAGCTCCTCACAGGTGACTGAGCTCCGTACAGCCAACTCTGATCCACTTCTTCTTTGGTCTGAACTTGAGGAAAACGTTTCTGCCCCTTGTATCAAATCAAATTTTATTTGTATATCTCCAAATCACAACAAAATTCATCTCAGGACACTTTACAAAGTAAGGTCTAGACCTTACTGTTATCACTATTATTACATA